TATATATATATATACATATATATATATAATATATATTATATATTTTTTTTTTTTTTTTTTTGTCTGTTAGTGAAGATTTTATTTGTATATACAGCATTTCTCATTTCTTAATATTATTATTTTCTTTTTTTCTCTGTTTTATTCTTCTTCGGCATTCTACTTCATATGTATATAGATTTCAGTCTGTTTTCCGTAGAATATGACACCTGTTATACTTTATTTTTGTCTCACCTGCATACTTACCTCTTTCTGTCTATCTCGTACTTTTTCTTTTGCTCTCTCTCACCACTCCTCTCTCTGCTCTCTCTCTCTCTCTCTCTCTCTCTCTCTCTTCTCTCTCTCTCTATCTATCTATCTATCTATCTCTCTCTCTCTCTCTCTCTCTCTCTCTCTCTCTCTATCTGTCTATCTATTTGTCTGTCTGTTGATATCTACCTATCTATATCTATATCTATGGCATCCTTCAGTTGCAAACAACTGTGACGCCTCTTTTGATTTTCATGGAGTCCCAGGGATTCTCGTGCCAGTTCCTGACTTTAATTCCAGAGCAGGTGCGCGAATTTCCAACTGATGCCCAGCCAGTAGCCATCTACCATGCCATCAAAAAGATAGTGAACAGTAGCGACATATGACTGTCTCTACTGGCGCCCAGGGTGCATTCTCTGAGCTCACTGCATTTACCACAGAAAACGTGTTACCTAGAAATACCCTTCACCAAACTTCTGGACTATCAGAACAGGGTAAATAAGTGCCACACTACTGGAGACCCTCTCATATAAGATCAACCTGTGAATAGGTCGATCAAATAGCCAAACTAGCACTTTGTCATAAAGATCGATACGATGCAGTACCTCTCTCAGTCAGGTGAAAATACGTATTATCGGCTGTCTCCGATTTTATGAGGGTTTGGTATAGTCCACTGAAAAACTGAAGACAAATAGATATGGTACCATCTGGCATTATGAAATTATTGTTGGGGCATCAGATATGACCAGGCTTCGCAAAGGACACCAGTATGCAATATATGCAGTTTTTGGAGGCAAAGCCAGTTTCATATCACCGCTGCAAAATGTGCAAGGCTCTCAGCTCCCATAATCTTACCCTTTGCTTACTTTGTTGCACGAAAAATACATGCTATCGATCAAATAGCACTGCCTAGAGAATTGCACTTACTGATTACACTGATTTCTTTATAGACACTAGTTTTGCCTTTGCTATAATTAGTAATATAATTTATTTTTACCGACAAGATGGTATGTGAATAATAAAAGCACAATGACACAGCCCTCCGAGCATATATTACTAATATTTGACTTATAGCCCTTTATATATATATATATTATATATATAATATATATATATATATATAAGAGAGAGAGAGAGAGAGAGAGAGAGAGAGAGAGAGAGAGAGAGAGAGAGAGAGAGAGAAACAGCTTGGATGCTTTGGCATCTTACCCAGGTTTTTCGCATGGTATGCTTACAGATTTCATCAAATAAAATCTCTCTATATCTATCTATTTATCTCTCTCTCTCTCTCTTTTCTCTTAATGGTTGTTTGTTACGCATATTGGCCAAATGATAAAACCATCTGATAGATGGCAAAGGCTGCTAAATCATGCAATACAGTTACGTCATTTACAGAGAATAAATCCATTTGTGACCTCAGGCAAATTCCTTCCTCCTCTCTCCATGACGTCACACACAAGCGCATCATCCTTTAGTGAAGTCACGCATATATCTTCCGTAAGTGACGTCACATATTCTTGGCCCTATCATGTCCCTTCATATCCGTCTGAGGACAAGTTCCGCCCCTTTCACAGGGAGAATATAAGCGCTGCTCCTTCGCAGAGAGGGTAAAGAGCTCCACCCCGTCACAGTTAGAGTACACAGAATTCACCCCTTTCCAAAGAGAGTGCAAAAGCTCCGCTTCCTCACAGAGTACACAAGCCTCAACACTTTCCAGAGAGAGGAGAAAGACTCCTTATAGAGAGAGTATACAGACTCCACCCCCCTAACTGATTGCACATCCTCAATCCTTTTACAAAGAAAGTAGAAGGACTGCGCCTCTTTGTATAGAAAGTACACAGACTCCACCGCTTTTAAACGACTGACCCTTAGAAAGAGAGCTAACAAATCCCCCCCCCCCCTCCCTTAACAGAAAATAAACTCACCCCCTTTTTTGAAATACACAGACTCCGCCCTCTTACTGAAAGATACACAAGCCCCGCCCTATCACAGAGTTCACAAGCTCTGCCCCATTTTATGAAGAGAACACAATCGACTGATTAGCAAAGTTACACAAAGCCTTACCCAAAGAATATACGCAGATGCAAATGCATATCTATCAATCTAGATATGTATATCTATCAGATAAATGTATAAATGAATGCATATTTGTCAGAAACATAGATGTGTTTATTTTTCTGTGCATGTCTAGCTATATATATGAATATTCCTTGGGTCGGGCATGAAACATGTAACCAAGTAGCTCCACTTCCAT